CAAATTCATCATCCCTGGGTCCCAGATCGCCCAAAGGCCAACTGCACACCTGGATGCTGGGCTCCATGAGATCCCACTGTGCTCTTACATTCAATTCCTGATATCAAAGCCAGCTTCAGCCATAAAACAGTTTCTGAGACAATTGCTCAAAAGCCGAATTTCCTGTATATTAATCTCAGACTTGAGTTGAGCCAGTTCCTTTCCTGATACTATTAAAAATGACTGACAGTTACTATCAAACTGCTGTCTTTTTGTTCTTATCCCATTTGCCCGCATCATTTAGGGTGACATATAGCAACTGGGGTAAAGGGGCTTGAAGAGCATAAGGCTGATACTTTTTTTCTTTGCATTTTATTCCTATTCCATGTTCTTGCAAACCATTAAAATCCAATGTACTTTGATATCTACTTTTCTAAAATATACAATGCAAGTGGACCAGGTCAACTACAAATTTCAATTTAATTCAATAAACATTAACCAAGCACATGCTACATGGCTAAGCAGTATGCTACTGCTTATCAAAATGATGGCTATAAACATAATCCAATGCACAGAACTTTAATCATATCATTCAGTAGAAAAACCAAATGCACATGAAATTTAACAACACACATACAATATATATAAGGAGTCAAATATAAGGCACTTAATAAATATTTATTGCAGTTAAGTGCCATGGCAAACAATGCATTTGCTCCAGTTAGGTATCACTGATTACATTTCAGATCTTTATAAATAAACCAATTATTCTTTGAGTTTAAATAGTTTCAAATGTGTAAGAACTGTCAGCTCCCTTGGCCAGTGAGCTCTTCCTAGGAAGGCTCTGTGCTTTCTTTTGCAACCCTCAGAACCAAAACAAGGCTGGAGTTATTTAGTATACATGATTGATTGAGGGTTAGGACAGTGAAACAGAAAAATGATTACAGTGTTCTAGAGGTCTTTCTTATGCTCCTAGGGTATATAAACTCTTGATTTTGTTATTTTCACACACACTGCGAATCAGATACTACAAATATCAATATTAAAATGTATTTATGAGACTCTCAGGCCCAGTGAGGTGGCTGACACCTGTCAGCCCAAAACTTTGAGGGGCCAAAGTGAGAGGAATACCTGTACCCAGGAGTTTGAGACCAACCTGGGCAACACTGTAGAATCCTCTACACAAAATATTCCACTACAGGTGGCACATGCCTGTAGTCTCAGCCACTCAGCAGGCTGAGGTGGGAGGACTGCATGAGCTTGGGAGGTTCGGGCTACAGTGAGCCATATTGTGCCACTGTACTCTAACCTAGGTGACAGAGCAAGACTGTGTATCAAAAAAAGAAAAGAAAAGAAAAACAAAAACAAAAACAAAAAGAAACGCAAAAAGAGGGAATATCAACTATTTTATTCTAATTGATATCTGAATTTATAAAAATCATTTTCAGTCATTCAGAATGAAAAAAAGTCAAGCCAAATAGAACATGCAATTTAAAGGATTTAAAAGATTTACAGTGCATCTGAAATTATTCATCATCCATTTATTTACAAGTGACTAAAATATATCCTTGACCAATAAGGTTTGAGACTTTAGAATATTAAGTGTTTAGTTAGGACCCTGAAACAAATTAGTTTTTCAAAAAACAGCAAAAAAAAATATTTTAATAAAATGATTTGGCGACTATCCTTGTAAAAGCCACCCTAAGGGCAAACATCATTTGTTTATTTAATCTAATTTGGCCAGGGATTTGCATTCCCTGGGAGGTTGTTCCAAATCCTTTAAGTTGTACCCAGGTTCCCATCCTAATACCATCTATCTGGCAATATCCAGCAGGTGAAATGAACCTCTAATTATTTTACTGACAAAAATCAGGAAGCTCAACAAGCTTTCCCCAATATCTGCACCTCTGTCTTATCTAATAGCCTGTTTTTTGATCTCAGAAGAAGATAAGCCTCTTCTGTTTCTCATCCATTCTCCCTTTACCTCTAGGAGGTGAGGCTGGCCTGCCTTACCAACCATTCACTCTCTTCTGATGCTTTCCATTTTGCCTTTGAACACTGTATTCCCTAAAACACATGAACAAATTAAACTTCATAAGACATTTGCCTTTAAACAATTTACCCTCTCTTCTCCACCTTTTCACATTTTTTGGCATAAGCAGCTTCTTTTTCTCTTGAAGACTTGCTTCTTTCATAGGGCCTCCTAACCCCACCCCATCTGGAAACAACCAAGGTGTTCCTGCTGTTCTGAGTATGTATGGCAAGCTAGCTGCTACCAACACATGGGCTGGCTGCCGCTTTGAAAACCTTCTGACAGCATTGCCACTTCTGAGACCTGTGACCCCCCACAAGACACCATTCCTCAAAGTGCCTTGTTGCTCTGTTGACTTTTTCAAAATGCTCCTCACTGTTCTCTCCAAGTTCAGCCCCTCTTCATTCCGATGCTCCCACCACAGTCATGGTCCTCAAGCCCAACTAGAATTGGGTCCCTTCATTGCCCAGAAGCCTTTTATGCCTCTCTTGTGTCTGCTGCTAAGCTAAAACCTCTCCAGCCAGCCACTTGGGCTCTTCACACAATGGCTGTCATCCCTCTGCAACCCCTTCCCATACCTTGCAATCAAGTCAGCTGCAACTCATTTCTACCCATTTCTTTGGACGTTCCTGTAAGGTTTATTGCCAAGTAAAATGAAGAAACTGAGGCAAGTATAAGAAAATGAGAAGCTAATCTATTCAGCTCCCAGGTGAGGTTCTGTGGTCCAGGGAGGGGCCAAAGAAGTCAGGGCGTGGGGTTTTATGGGGAGGAAGGCAATTGATTGGCTATTGGGGAAACAAAGTGAAGGCAATCTTATTGGCTATTAAGAAGCAGGAAATACCTGGAGCTAGTTGTTATGGGTAGGCGGGCGGGACCTTGGGTAAGTGGGCCTGCCGGGTGTATAGAGGGCAGACTGCTACAGGGCAGGGTCTGATGGGGCTTCTTTAAAAAAATTTTCTGCAGGGTTTTTCAACAGCGGGCTGGGGGTTGAATGCATAATTTAGTGCTGAATGTGGGCTTGGGTCTGGTATGCGGAGGTGGGTGCGGGGAAGCCGTGCTGCAAGGCCAGCTTGGGTGATGATGGATATGTCCGTTTAACCCTGTGTGAGGCAGCTGGCCTTACAGTTCCAATCTCTTTGTCTAGAATCTTTCCTTACCCTAAGGAGAGAAGATCAGAATCTACCACAACTTGTAAGACCAAATCATCGCTACTGGTTTGCTAGTCCAGAGCTTTTGTCTGAAGCTCCAGAAGCTTCTGATAAATGAATATCAGGGCATTTATCCTGGCCTTGGATTCTCCTCCTTCACCAGGTTATAGGGTCTTTGAAGGAGGCAGCTAAGGAAGCTGACACAGAAGAATGAACAGAGTCAGATGAATTTAGATTCAAGTCCCGCTCTTACTGTCTCTGTGGTCACTGGTCCCAAGCAGGTTACTTACTGTTTTTAATCACCTGTTTCCCCAAATGGAAGAGTGAAGTAACAATGTGTCATAGAACTGTGGTGAAAATTACATGAGATAGAAAATAAACATCTGGAATCCAAACATACTTATAAATTTTTGTTTTTTGTTCTGTTTTGAGATGGAGTCTTACTCTGTCACCCAGGCTGGAGTGCAGTGGCACAATAGCTCACTGTAACCTCCACCTCCGAGGCTCAAACAATTTCACTGCCTCAGCCTCCCGAGTAGCTGGGACTACAGGCATGCACCAACATGCCTGCCTAATGTTTATATTTTTAATAGAGACAGGGTTGCACCATTTTGGCCAGGCTGGTCTTGAACTCCTGACTTCCACCTGCCTCGGCCTCCCAAAGTGCTGGGATTACAGGCATTAGCCACCATGGGTTCATATTACTCAATTTAGGTTGGAGCTGCCTATGGTAACCAAGCATCCTTTTTTCTTTACCATTTTTTTTTTTTTTTTTTTTTTTTTTTTTTTTTTGCAGAACAGCCTATATAGAATATAAATGCAAACACTTGAAAATTTCACATTTATTCTTATTTTTCTCTAGGGATGCAAAAAAAAAAAAAGAACTGTTAACACTAATTATTCTTCCCTGAAATGAAGATGGAAGGAGAGACAGAAAAAGGGAGAGAGAAAGGAAAAAAGGGGAGAAGTGAGAAAAGGAGGTTGGTGGGGAGGAGGGAGAGAGATATTTAATGTTTTTATATGAGAGAAATGGAATGTTATTCAACTGGAAATAGAGAAGTGCTTCCAAAACACTGCATTTATAAAGCCCAATTCCTCCAGATTTCAAAAATATTACCAACACAGGTCAGCCTGCAAAGCAAATAAATGTTTTCCATTTGTTTCCCATTTCTGTCTCTTCAGCTTTCTGAAGTAACCTGCACATAAATGACTGTCGATGAGCCTTAAGCAACTGCTTGTCTATTTTCTTAACATGGCTTGGCCAGAAGTTGTGAACATTGGCTTGGAAGACCTGGTTTAGCAGTGACCATCAAAACACTTCACAACTTCGCAATGGGCGTACACTTTGCTGAGTAGGGCAGTAAGCAAAATTGGCCTTTGGCTCACTGCAGAAAAAAGTTATCCTAAATAACCACAGTAAAAGGAAGTGGGGAGGTTCTGTTCTCATCAAGTAAGTGAAGCTGGCTAAAATGTATCATTTGCTAAGCCTCTCACCATCAAAATAGCAACTACATATGTGGGGAAAATATCCCAGGTCCTGTCTTCTACAGGTTACTGACTCAGTTCCCTTTTGAGGATGCTGAAGACATTCCCTAAAAGAAATCTGCATTACTTTTAATTTGCTATAGAGCTTGGCTTTGCATCGGTCATCCTAAGAAATTCTAAGAATGTCAAAATGTATTAATCCCTAGTGAACTGGATCTCTGTTACATACTCATTCCAAGTGTTTTGGCAAAGTCACTCTATATCGCTAGCTTAATTGGTGGCAGGTTATTTTCCAGCTGTCAAATCATCTTTTCCTATTAAGGAGTCAGAAGGAAAAACATTCACTCATAAAGAAATTGAATAACTTGGAACATGAACAACATAAGTATTTATTTGAAAAACATTTTCCATTTAAGTAAAATGGCAAATTAGCTAGAGTAGCTTCTTACTGCTAATTCTATTTGCACTCACAGTCACTTTTATTCATCATATTCAAAGATATTGCTACCAAAAAGTGATCTCACAAAGTATTTAGAAAAATATATACAGTCTCTCTAATAGAAAGTTAATTAAAACAACAAAGCTAGGCAATATCAAGCTAAGATAGGAAACCGATTGACATGTATAAACACAAATAAATAAATATATACAAAAGAATCTATGCCAACAATAGACAAAATCTTTACAAAGCAAGTGAATGGTAACAAGAATGGAAAATCTCTCAGGATCCTAGACTACGACTCTAACACAATGTAGTTTAAAAAGAGAGAAAAAGAAAAGAAAACATAAGGGAAAGGGAGTCTGAACTGATGCTATCCTCAAAGGTAGGTTGAACTAAATTCAGCCTCCCCAGCTAAATTCCTGACCCTCTGTTCTGATGGGGCCTAAATGGAGATGAGAACCGAAGGCTTAGAACTGATGACAGAATTTGGCTCAATCTTTCAAATCCATTTACAAATGTTTCCCTTGAGCAGTTTCTTAATTGTTTCTCATCTGGTTATTAGAAATTTCTAAAGTGGAGCTGACACTGTCAAATATGAAAAAAATATTTTTCTGGAGCCATATGAGTATCAGTGGAAATCAAAAAGCAAAGCCATTTTTGAAGGTATATCTTAATTGTTATTGACCAAATAAGCACTTTGAACAGAAATCTGACTAATCTAATTAGTTGAAATCTACCACAAATGTCTAAGGTTTGGGGGGAAATGTATATGAATGTTCAATGACTTAGATTAATTTTCATCCATATATAACCTCTGCCAAAATAAACAGTCTGTTAATATATGCCTCTTGAAAAGGACTTGGCTCTACTGTAGTGAATCTCAGTGACCTTAGATTTACTATTCTTTTCTACTGAATACAACCTTCCCCTGTGAAAGCCAAGCTGGATAATGCTCATGTCTCCCAGGATGGTGTTGCAGGATGCTGCAAAATGGAACAGTAACAAAAAACCCACTGCCTCATTATCTCATCATCTGCTGGAGCCAGGCAAATAGCTTCATGATTGAAGCTCAGCAAAAGGTGAGAGGTCCCTTGGGTTGCTGTGTAGCTTAAAAGCTCTCCCATGTCTCATACTGCAAACTGTTTTTTGTGCAGAGAAAAAGGCCTCTAGGTTCCAGGTTCTAGACTTTGTCTTTAAGCAGACTGGCTTTGACAGAATGTCTCATTTTCTTTTTTTTTTTTTTTTATTGCATTTTAGGTTTTGGGGTACATGTGAAGAACATGCAAGATTGCTGCATAGGTACACACCAGAATGTCTCCTTTTCTTATCACTTCCACTGTTGCCTCCCAGAACCTGATACTTCCCAGATAACTCAGAACAAATGTGAAAAAGCACAGCACGCACTGAGACTGATTTCTAAGAAACCGCATAGGACCCCATCACCTAAGAACAATTACAATGTGGTCTCCTACACATTCATCAGCAAGCAGGCATTACTCAGAATAGTCTGAGAGTTAGGCAAGCTGAATAACAGTATGCATGGCTTCTATGCAGCAGTTTGATCCATAAATAATACACCATCTATCTTGCCAGACCTCCTCAGGTTCTTACATACTATAATCAAAGGACTGACACACAAGCAATATTTAGACTAGCTATTGCAGACCCAGCTGTTTATAAATTATTTGTATTATTATAAGTCACCATGTGTCTCACTTCATATTCCTTGGAACAAAACTCTCAATAGGGGAATTAAGAGGTTTTCATTTGTGCAATAGGAAATATCTTAAAGTCTCTAAAGCAAGGACAGAACCAGAGAGTCTCAATTGTGTGTCTCCTAAAAGGAAAATTCCACTGCATACAGCATGGCTAATGGAAATTCTCCTTCCTCCCACAAGCCTACGGGCTCAATATACAGTAGAGAGCCAAAAGTAGAGGTGTAATGGATTCATTCTTAAACAACTCCTGGGAGGTCCACATTGATGGAGCATCGATACTAAACTTAACTCGAATGTATGGGATTAAATTATACTTAAAGCCTTGGCCTTATGCCTTGAATAGAATGAGTAAAATATTAGACATGTATATAGCCTCATCTAGGTCAATATTTTGGAAAAACTTTCTTAAGCATGTTATGGTTCTGAAGGTGTAATATTTAAAATTAAAAAAAAAATCCTTTTAAGTCTTTGGGTCAAGCAGTAAACAGTCTTTTCTGCCTGTGGTTGAAATGTCACTGCAAATGAGAACATGGTACTGCATTTACAGAAAGAAACACTGGAATGGAATTTGTGGGCATCCAAAAGAGTTACATTTTTTATTGTTGAGAAAGATGATGCAGAAAATGGGTACATCCCGATGTAGATATTAGGTGGAGTAAAATGAGCTCTACCTAGGGTCTGTCCTCAGTGTGGCTTCTCCCTTGCCTCTATTTTAATGTCTCCCTTGCATTATGATTATTCTGATTCAATTACATATTTAGAAAATCATAGTTTCTGGGCTACTGAGTCACGTTGCTCTCAGTACTGAAGTTTTAGTGATGATGGCAACTCTTCCATGGAATAAATAGATTGAAAAGAAAAATTATGAATTTCACAAAAGCCTTCTTAACAAAATACATTCCTCACATATATGCAGTTATCTAGGTAATAGCACATTTACATCGATAGTTGCAGCTTTCACTGATTGCAAATCTTCACATTTCTGCAGACTGATTTCTTTTTCTTACATTAAAGACATTAAAACTTAGTGCTGTGGCTGAAGGTATCTGACATGATAATATTTTTATAGAAGTTATCTGAATGAGCATTGCAATAACCCTTGACCTTATCAATGACCTGATGGACAGGGATGATTGATGTTTGTTCTCCATCAGCATGGGCCAGTTTTGACAAGGACTTGTCCATGGAAGTATTGTCTGCAAGAAATGATACAAGAAATTAGGTTCAAGATGAGCTGGTGAGATGCCTACAGGCCACTATACTGTACACTCTGTTTTGCACATTAAAGAAGAACAAAAGAAAATAATGCTCGGATTCTATCTTAGATTAGGTAATAGGCAACATCAAACTTCCATGTTTTTTTTCTTCTAAGTACCCTCCTAATAATCACTAAATGTCAACTCGCCTTCTAGTAATTCGTACTGTAGCTTACTATAAGAAATATTCTTGAATATCGCAGAGCCAATGAAAAAATAATTGAAAAACCACTTCAAAAATATATATACAAGACTACATAATAAAGGAATTAAAATGTGCTGAAATACTTGTGGAAGAAATGATATGATATCTAAGATATGTTTTCAAATAATACAGGAAGGGAAAAATGGGTGGGGTGTATAACTGGCTGTAAGTTGATGGGAACAAGAGGATTCCTAATAGTATCCTCTCTACTTTTTATATATCTTTGACACTTTCTGCAATAAAAATTTTATAAAATTAAAGGATTTTGGAGAATAAAAGCAAATGAAAATAAATATGGAAGGCTACTTTGAACATGCTTTCCCATGGTTTTTACTTGGATAAACAATAGGAATATAGCAAAAAGGGCACTTTTTATGAATTATTCTTTTAATTATAGCAAAGTTATTACCAGAAAATTTTAATTAAAAATGATTTATTTGTATTAATTATCTTATAGTTTCAGAGTGATGCTATTGCTAACGACACTAATATTAGAACAACTGATAGCAATAAAGGACTGCTAAATAATTTTTTAATAAAATTTTCAGTATCATATATTTAAATGTTATTTCCCTATACACAAAAACTTTGTAAAATTGGCTAAGATAATGCTCTGAAACTCACTTAAGCTCTATTATCTGTAAACAGATACGGTTGTCTGTATGTCTGTAAACATACACATTTGTATCCTACAAATATCTTTTAAGTACCTCCTTCTCCAAATACACTTTAGAAAGAAGTACCTCCTTCTCCAAATACACTGATAAAGAAGAAATGAACTTTGATAAAGTATTCAGTTTCCTATGTATTTTCTCTATACATTGTGGAAAAGACAAAAACTCTATCCTGAAAAACTTTTAGAAATCATGGCTCCAAAATTGGAATCTTCACTTCAAGGCATTTTACAGTTTGAATATGTTGGACTCAGTATGTGACAAAACATTTAAAATCCACCAATAATTGGTAAAAGCCATCACCATCATGCTATCTGTTATCTTTGGAAACTATTCAAATTCCTTGACTGTTATTTTGCGTTGAAGCAGGCACTAAATAAAATAAGGGCTGAAAAGGGAAATGAGATGCTCAACCCATAACTAAAGGATGCAAGAGAGAAAAACAGATGGTTCATGGAGAGAAGGGGCAAACTGAAGCATGGTGGAACAACTGAAGCATTTTCCAGTGTTGGCGAGGAAAAGGCTCAAGGAGTCATGACAAAAGGCCCCTCCCCATTAGGCCCTCAGCAAGCTGATTGATTCTGAGCTTCCTTTCAGTTCATATATTCACTAGCCATTGGTTTTCTGGTGGGGATTTTTCTATTGACTTATATATCAATACTGAATAATTTGTGTTTGGTGTTTTTAGAAAACTGCATATCCTCAGAGAGATGTCAAGGATATATTCACTCTGCTTCCTTTGTAACTTCCAGTGGCATATAATTTTAGAAATTATGAACAGCTTCTTTTCAACAATGTGATCCAATTTAATGGGTCTTCATGGTTTAATAAAGCAAAATTCTGAATGAGGGCTACATTTTTATATATGCTACTCCCAGTCTTCTGGTTAGATATTACATTATGTTTAATAAAGACTCTGATTATAGTTACAAGTCTGAAAACCAGGGGCTAGGGATATGAACTATTATTTGACCTATGCTGAAATTTCAAGCAGAAAACAATCTTCACAAAGCAGGCTTGGAATTGACAATTTCACTTATATGACTTCTATGAATGTACCATGACATATCCAACAATCCATAAGAGTAGTGGAAAAATAAAGCATCTCATGTCCTACAACAAATCTTTTCTCAAGTACTGCTTTTTGTTATTATTTTACATAATGTGTGATCCACTGACTCCAGACCATGGTACATTTCCTAGAAGGAGCAGCTAGCAGACAACCCATGCAGAGAAGAGCCAGCACACCACACGCTATCATTCGAAATTTCAGAAATTCCAGCTCAATGCAGGAATGTCATTGTGCTAGCTGAAAAGAACAAGCCATTTTGATGATGCAGCAAGAATCTTAGCTTAATCCATGCACATATTCTCTTATTACCTTGCAAAAAATTCATGCATTCAAAAAAGTAATTAAAGTTTACCTGAATGATCCACTTTTGTTGAAGGAATGCTCTTAGGAGACATTATCTATACCATAAACATATGAATATCTAGATCAATTCCAAGAAATGAACCAACTAGATATCCATGATGATATGCAGTGACTTTTTGCATACGCTGAGTGATCCCCAGGATGCTAACTGTCCCACTGAGAACTGGCTGGGTAGGCAAAGCCTATGTGAAGTCAGTTGACTGTAAACCAGAATTTATTATACCATTGAAGTAATACCATATAACTAACTATATTCTCATCCTAATTGATAAGAACCTATTTAGCCCAAGTTTTTTTTTTTTTTTTGTTAAGGGAAACAAGAACATTAATGCATTCTTAAAAAAAAAAAAAAAAAAAGGCTGAGTGTGGTGGCTCACACCTGTAATCCCAGCACTTTGGGAGGCTTGAGGCAGGCAAATCGCTTGAGCCCAGGAGTTTGAGCCTATCCTGGACAAGATCATGAAACCCCATTTCTACAAAAATACAAAAATTAGACAGGTATGGTGGTGCACACCTGTAGTCCCAGCTACTTGAGAGGCTAAGGTGGGAGGATTGCTTGAACCCAGGAGGTAGAGGCTTCAGTGAGCCTCTACCGTGAGTGTGCCACTGCACTCCAGACTCGGAAACAGAGTGAGACCCTGCCTCAAAATTAAAATAAAATAAAATAAAACAAAACGAAGAACTCACAATATTTTAAAATAGTAAAGTCTGCCTTTGGACCTCCATTTCTGCATATCCTCTTTTATCTTCTAGTCAGTTTCCCCCCAAATCCTATAGCCCTTTCTTTGCTTAATATTTCCCAAATGTCTCATGTTCCAAATTATTTGCCTTGTTATCGTCTTCCTTTTTTAAGAGTGGTATTTCTTCAGGCCAGCTATTTTCAGTTTAAGAAAGCATTCAATTGGTCTAATTCCTATTTATTTATGACTGACTGATACTGCATTAATTATTTGTATTTTAGAATGGAAGGCAAAATGAGTATCAAATTTTAAGTTTGGTTCAATAAAGTGAAAAAAAAAGAATTCATTATAAGCAAAAGATGCTTTGTGCCATGGAACCACCAAATAAGTAGAATCATCTGTCTTAGACTATACACCTGTCATCAATTTCATTACACAGATATTCTTAGGCAGAACGGCACAGACTTCTTAATTTTATGCAAAATTGTGAAGATGATGCAAAATCTGTACCTTTTTCTGGAAGAGAATCAACAGCCTTTATTTAATTCCCCCCAAAATGTCCTAGACTCTTAAGATACTTTAAGAACTGCAGTCCTAAGTTGCTCCAAGTTCTTGGATTTTTAATTAATTTTGGAATTAACAAACTCTCTAACCACTCAAGACTTTTTCCATAGTACTATCATGAATCCCAGGCAATGGTCACTCCAGTGGCAAGACATAGAAGACGGTACAAACTGGGACATGTATAAGGATTCAAACGTACAGGAGGGTCATCTGTAATTCAACTATTTGCAATATGAATAATTACAGACACATCACACACCTTACTCCCTGTTTGCAAAAAGCCAAGTATTAGTATTCTCTATGCCATTCACTTTTGCTCGTGTTTAATAGCTAAACAAATTAAAAATTAAAAACTTATTTCCATTATCCCTTTAGAATTATCTTTAATGAGGAAAGTGCTATGTTTTAAATGTTGACAGCTGTCTGCCAGGGTTTAATTAGTATTTAAAAGTAGCAATTCTATTATTTCCCTTTGAAAGTATTAAAAGGTTACACATTTTCACATCATTCATTATCGAGTGCTGCAAAATATTACTATTTTTTTAGATGGGGTCTTACTATGTTGCCCAGGCTGTGGTGCAGTGGCATAATCATAACCCACTGCAGCCTAAACTCCAAGGTGCAAGCAATCCTCCCATCTCAGCTGCCAGAGTAGTTGGGACTCCAGGCATGTGCCATAGTACCTGGCTTAAAATATTCTTTATTTCCATGGTGTCATCAGTACTTTTTACATAAATGTTCAGTGTCAGAATGTGCAGTAATTGCAAATATCATGAAACAGCAGGGTATTAAGAAAGACAATGTTTCTTATAGTCCTGTACCACTTTCCAAATAGTGATATGTAATCAGTGATTTAAAGAGCAGTTGTTAATAACATCTGCAATGGTTAAGGAATTAGGTCTTAAATAAAATATATGTCCTACATATTGTTTCTTCCTGTTCCCATGACAACTTGTCCAGTAACTATCATAGTCTAATTCAATGTTTAATTTTAAAAATAAAGATATAACTTTTTAAACAAAATACCATTATTTAAAGAAAACTAAATTTTGAAGCAAATGATGAAGTTGCAATAATATACAGAGTGGATAATATTATGATTATATAGCTAGAGTTTGAGTTACAAAATTTTTAAAAGGATGAAATATTCATAAAAGTGTTGGATAATGTCTTTGAACAGATTTTTATTTTCATAAATCTAAAAGATGCACCCTCTCAGGCACCGTGATCCATCAATCTTCATGATATGTCAATTTTTGCAATGAAAATGTGATGAAAACTAAACTCAAGGACATCTTTAGACTCACCTGTGTGGCTATTCCTTTTGAAATAGGTGATAGAGCTGGATTTAGATTTGGACGTAAGATAGGTTGAGTTGGAACCAATGGAGCTTGAAGACAAAGATTTTCCTAGATTATCGGAACTTTTCTTGATGATATTGGTAGCTGTCTTACTCCAATCTGTAAAAAAGTGACATCACTCTATCAATGTGCTTTACAGGGAATATGTTCTGTTCTGAAAAATCATCACTGCATTTTTTATCTGGAGCATCTGATTTTCTGATATGCTGGCAATGGCTAAGAGAAGAGACTGACATGTAAACAAGAAAAACTGAAAATTTCTTACTTTGACTTCGTATATGTACTGTTTAAAATCTCACTTTCAATATCCTAAGAGTGAGATGTAACCACTAATGGTAAAAAGAAAAAGAAAGATACAGAAAAAAAAAAAAAGACAAAGTGTGGTTTTTTTTTTCAGTTTTTTTTTTTTTTTTTTTTTTTTTTTAATATACGGAGAAAAATCTCTTTGTCTAACAATGTAATTGAGGATCTACAAAACGTGGAAAGGTGAGTCTGGTGTAGTGGAAACTCTGGGTTGTTAAATTAGACATCAAACCTTGGGCTACTCATATAACTTGTATGGAATTCATGCTTCCCCTCTGCAGAATAGAAGGATTGGGCCTGAAGTTCTCAGATCTCTTCTAGTCCTCATGTTCTACAACTCCAGCTAGGTATCTTCACATGCTCCACTTCAATAGATTGCTCCCTTTGGGACTAGGTTGCTCTGACAATGGAAGACAGAATGACAAACTTTCCCATCTAATTTTAGATGTAAAATTTAAACAGCCCTTTACCTGAGTTATCTGCTAACCGAAATCTACCACAGCAGAGATGCCGCCGCCACTGTTTCTGAACATTCTCCTTCATAGCACAGTGGAAGATGAATATAAATAAGCCTGTGACAAAAGAAAACATAAATATTTAAGCCAACTGACACATCTTTAAAGAGAAATCTTATAAAATACACGAATTCATTTTAATTTTAAATTTTTTACATCTAAATCACTAAGAAACAAAGATTATTAAGGAAATGAATCTTGCAGTATGTAGCAGACACTTTAATCCTTTAGAAGGGAACACAAAGGCTCTGATAAAACTAGAATAACCACTTGGATCTGATTCTGTCTTTGCCTGTTCAGTTCAGCATTCAATATGACTTAACCTAAAAACCAAGCTGAAATAAGGAACATTCAATTTCAGAAGTATTTAATATTTCCCATATATTTGTCCTAAAATTATTATACTTTCCATACATATTTTAACCAAAGAGAAAATGGAAAACACATATAAACTCATCATCTGTTTCAATTTGTGTATTCTGAGCTATTTTGCATATGTATATTGTAGTTATACTCATAGTATATTAGCTTGGGCCATAGAAAAGTGGTACTTTTGCCAGTGAAACGTGGCCCCAAATCATCAAAATCATGTGACTCCACCTGGCCTACTTTAGCTTTTCCAGATTTTAACACAGAAATATTTCCCTAATGAGAAACAGTCTTCATATTTATAGTCACTTTGTGCCTATCAAAATCTGTGTCATTTGTGTCTTAGAAGCCAATCTCTTTTAACTTTTTTTTAAATTAAATTAAATTTTTTTTATTGCATTTTAGGTTTTGGGGTACATGTGAAGAACATGCAATATTGTTGCATAGGTACACACATGGCAGTGTGGTTTGCTGCCTTCCTCCCCTTCACCTATATATCTGGCCTTTTAACTTTTCGTGGCATTTGCTTCTGCATGTTAACCCTCTTGCTGAGGTGTCATCACTCTTTCTCTCTATTGCACTACACTTGGTTATTGCCATTAACTTACACATGTACTGTTAAAACACTTTTTAAACAACAAACAAAAAATTCCTCCCTTAACCTCCAATTTTCTTTCAGTTTCAACCTCTTTATTCCCTTTCCCAATAAAATTTCTTGAAATGGTTAACTTTTGCTGTCTCAGCTTTTTCCAACACCTTCTCTTCTCTGCCCACTCCAAACACATTGCTATCCACATCCATGACCCCACAACGACTGCTCTTATTAAGAATGGTGGCGACTCCCTTGTTGCTGAGTTTCCCATGACCACTTTACTAGACCTTTCAACAGCACTCAACATAAATGGCCCTTCATTCTCAAGGTCATTTTCTATCACTTTTCTTCCTAATTTGCTGGAGATTCTTTCTTCGTCTCTTTAGGAGGTTCTTCTGCTTTACTCTAAAAAGGTTTACGTGCCTGACTTGTAATGTTCATCTCTTTTACAGTTACACTGTCACTTTGGGTACTAACACTTCTAAAATATAAGCACCACATACTGATTTTTGTATTTGGTTCTGTTCCTTTCTCTCCTCCACCCCTAAATCAGGATTCCAACACACACTGCTCATAAGACGTCTTCACTGGGCAGTATTTCCACTTGGCAGCATCTCCCATCCCAGTTGTTCTGAAAAGAAGTCCTTGCAATCATGACCCCCAAACCACACACACATCCCTTTATTTCTCAGTGTCCAGCTCATTCCAGCCCAATACCATGGTGAACGCTCTTCTTCCAGATCTTTCCATAACATGTTCCTACCTATCGTTCAGGTCTCAGACCAACTGTTAACTTCTCAAAGAGGCCCTCATCAACTGTTATTTATTTTTTAATTTTAACATTTAGTCACTCCCTTTCACATACCTATTTGTTTCACAGCACTCCTCAGTACCTAACATTCTTGTATTCCTCATTTATTCATTTATTCCTTTGCTTGATTGTCTCTTCCTAGCAGATAATATGCTCCAAGAGAACAGGGATACTTGTGTATTCAATACTGTGTTGGCTGTTCCAAGAACTAAGTAGGAACTTGACAAATGTTTATTGATGGAATGAATGGTAAACAAGATCAATCAATCATGTAGTCTATATGAGTTAATTGAATGCTTACATGTACACGCTAATGTGTTAAAAATGTGTTTGGAGATGGGGAGGTTAAAAATAGGAGTGAACAGTCAAATTAAGTGGTAACAGGCGTGAAATGAAAATACATTTAAAGGAAAAGTTTCTGAAAAGCATGCAAGTTGCTGAGGTTGTGTCCCCGTAAAGTACTAAGCAGTATATCTACGTAAGTGAGGGATTTTTAGGGGATCTAGGGCTTGAACTGAACCTTAAGTTCAGTAGAGCAGTGAGGGAAGTTTCCAGGAAGGGTAACTGATTCAGTGACTATTAAGCACTGCTAAGCATGAGGCACTGAGTTTTAGGAGTTAGAGATTCAAAGGTGAACAAGGTAGACAATCCTTGTTTTCATGGGGCAAAAGGTCTAGTATGGAACGGCACAACACTTACGACAGTCCTTTTAAGGGACCATTAAAAGTTATACATTCCTTTTGAATATGGAGTATTCATTAAGAAAACTACATTGTAGCTTGTACAATGGAAAAATTGGGAAAAAGTCTTAATAGTACTCTTTTGAGATATGTTTAGTTAAATTTGCAAAATATGTCTAAGGTTATGCTTACATGCTTTTTTTTTTTAGTATAAAGATTCAAAGTGGCCCTTAATTTTCAGAATAAATTACAAATGTTAATATGGAAAAGGAGCTTGCTTAATAGCTACATGATGGGTCGTGATCACAGTAAAATGATTCTAGGTTGATTCTCCTTTGGGTTTGGCAGCTTGTCGTTTGGTGATTAACAAGCCCTGATACCTAATAGGTGCTGCCTATAAATTCCTATTTAAATTACTAAAAAATCATTACATATTTTGACTTGCAGAAAAATGCCACTATGAAAGTACTGACTACATTTGGTCATTGTTTTCAAATGGATGATCAGCTCATACAAAAGTTTCTGGGAAATTCAAATATGTTGATCTCTGAGAGATATAAATAAGGCATGCAATGACCTAAGTAATACTGCATTGCATTTATATTACTATGTCATTTGATATTAATGTATGGTTATATATACATATTTACATAAATATATTACTATGTAATTTATTACTAATACTTCATTGGTAATGAAGTAATTTGTAAAGGAAATAAATCCTAGTGATCTATTTATTTGAAATGTTGTATCAGATAGGATAGAGAAGTTCCTTTTTTTTTTCCTTAAGAGACTGGGTCTTGCTGTGTTTCCCAGGCTGGAGTACAGTGGTGCAACTGTAGCTCACTGCAGCCTTGAACTTCTGAGCTCAAGCAATCCTCCTGCCTCAGCATCTCATGTAGCTAAGACAAGAGGCATGTGCCACCACACCTAACTAATGTTTTGTAGAGATGAGGGTCTCGCTATGTTTCTCAGGCTGGCTTAGAATGCCTGGCCTCAAATGATTCTCCTGCCTCAGTCTCCCAAAGCACAGGCATGAGCCACTGTGACAGGCTGGGAAGTTCTAATTTAACAAAAGAAAAGCTCTAATAAATACAATGAATAAATTTCAATTATTTAGAAAGCAAACAAGCACCTCCTGAAAGTCCCTGTGCTCCACATTGGGGAGGAAGAGTTGGGGAAGGCACCAGCTACACACTGGCCTGGACTATGCTAGGGCATGACAAGTCTCAGAGTAAGGAAAGATTTTTCCTCCATACTCAGAATCCCTCAGAGCAGGCTCTGCAGGCTGATCCTCCTTCCCAGGAAGTCGGGAGTGGATATCATTCGGTTAGGATTTCATCCTCACACTCTACATGACTAAATCTCATTGCTTTTCAAAGCCTTTCCATACCTACCCCATTCCCTAACCATGTTGCCAATACAGTCAATCCTTTCAATAAGCACTTTGAATAAACAAAAGTGTATACATAATTTGAATTGGTTACTATATCCTTTTAAGTTCTGAAGAAGAAGGTGGCAGTTACAGAGTAGAGTAGATTTAGTCAATAGATGCTACAGATGAAGGAGGCTGCAGACTGGAGGAGGAAGTCCACAGTGTCTCAGCTTACTAATTTTCCTTTAATGGGGTCAGATTTCCAGAATTTTTTCTTGGAGGTATATTTGTCATACAACTAGAAATACAGGTCACTGTGTATTCTTAAACAATTGTTTAACAGAGTCACATTTTAGAGCCAGGGGGAATTATAAACTTAAATGAAGGTCTTTTGCTCCTAGGCATTCATCCAGACATGATTATAGGGTCTCACATTGAGCAAATGGTTAATAGTTGCGGGTAGAAGTAAAAATTGCTGAATGTTACTTCCCTTAATAAACTACTATTCCTTTGTAAAACTTAGTAGTTTCTCTGTATGTTATACATCCTGGAAAAAAAATTCAGAGGTTGTGTCTGGTGTTTTGAGAACATTAGGAAAAAACTAGGTCACAGATTCAGGTTTTTAGCCTTGCTGGGGTACTAAAATGTGAATTATTTTGAGAATCAGATGCTGAACACAGTCAGAAAGGATGAGGTTAAAGATAAGACTGACTTAATAAAACAGTTTTTTAGATTGTAGAGTGCTGCCTTACATCATATTATATAACATTAAATAACATTCTCTATTTTTAAGTAACCATTGTGGTCTGTAAATATACAGGCACTCAATAAGTTTTAGAAACACTGGAGAGAAGAAGTCATTTAAATGCTCTACCTTCTACTATGAATTGTGATGTTATGGAATAAAATAGATAATAAGCACAATAAATTTGAATTCTTAAGAATGAATATATTTTAGATTCTAAGGTATTGCATTTAGAATATAAATATGATCAATCCTGTAGTCTTGAGATACATTTCTACTTTAAATATTTAAAATAGAAATATTTAAATATCTATTATAAAATAGAAATATACATTTCTATTTTAAATAGGATTCTCATAATACATTATTTTACTATTTGATGTAACTAGCCCTTTTCCTATGAACTTAAGGTAGTGTGGTAATAAACATTATACCAAAATTACTTCAGGATAGAATATCCCTTTTAGAGTTCAGAAGTGGGCAGT